TTCATTGGTTACACAGATGATTTTCCATTTGGTTGAAAGAGGAGTCCATCAGCACAGTTCTCAAAGGGTTCTAAGGATTCTAAGGATTTATGGAGAACCATTCTTTCCAAATCAACCTTTCAACATGCTATGAGGGGGTGAGGTTTCTTTAGATAGAGGAAAGCCTGTGGATGTAGTGTATCTACACTTCACTAGAGCATTTTTATACAGTACCCCACAAATTATTAATTTACAAATAATGTATTTTGGCAATGATGACATGGTATGTACTTGGATGGAGAACTGGTTGCAGAAGAGCACCCGAAAGGTGGTGATTAATAGCATATTTTCTGATTGGTCTGGAGTTGTGAGTGGGGTGCCCAAGGGATCTGTCTTGGGACCAATTCTGTTTAACATGTTCATAAACGATAAAGAGGTTGGAATCAATAGTTCAATCTCAATGTCTGCTGAAGATAAAAAAAAATAAGCAGGGCAATACCTTTGCAGCAGAATATAGAAACTTTACAAAAAGACCTAGTTAAATAGATGGGCAGGCAGCTATATGGCAGATGAGATTCAATGCTGGAAAATATAAAGTAATAAAGTAATGCACTTGGGAGCTTAAAAATGCATTCAAGTTACACGCTAGGGGGAAAACCTCTGGGAGAAGCAAGGATGGAAAAGGATCTAGGGGTCCTAGTAGAAGACAGACTCAACAATAGCATGCAATGCCAAGCTGCAAAAAGAAATTCTATGAGACTATTAGCATACATTAATAAGGGTATATACTCAGGAGATAAAACTATTATTCTACCACTGTATAAAACTCTGCTTTGGTGACATCATGAGTATGCCATCCTGTTCTAGCCACAAATCCTAGGAAAAAGGTGCTTCAACTGGCGTCCACAGAAGGGCTGAAAAGCTAATAAGGTGGCTGGAGGACCTCAGTTATGAGGAACGACTATATACATTAAACTTATTCTCCCTGGAGAATCAAAGCTTAAGAGGGAATATGATATAGATATACAAATCCTTGAATGATGACTTTTGCATTGGGAGGAAACATTTTAACCTTAGGTCTCTAAAGAAGACATGTAGCCACAAAATGGGATGAAAAATGGTTCTTAAACTTCTTAAGAGGCAGTAGTGATGTGGAACTTTCTTCCAGCGGAGAGTGTAGATAATAGATGTCCTAATGAGGGGCAGAAGCAAAACTGCAAAAGGCCCAAACTACAGTAGTGGATTACTGGTCTTTACTTCTGGAAAAAGGTGTCGCAGAGGGTCATAGGATGGTGAACTCACATATGTAAAGATAGCGTTAAAGAATTTTTTGACAGTGGCTGGAATCTGGTTGGGTAGAATGGATTGAGGGGAAATTGCTTTTGCCCAGAATTGGGCTTTGACACATGATAATAACATTGCTAATTTTTACTTTGAAAAATTATATTTAAAATTCACTAATGGTTTTTATTGCATGGATCAGTTGAATTTAATACATACATTATTCTTTGTTGTTTTAATTCAATCCATTTTTGTCTTATTTGGTATTGTCTAATTCTCAAAATTTACCACATGGGTTTTTGCTCCTTAAAATACCAGTACCTTCTGTCTAGTGTGAAGATCTATGAGCTGTCTTGAAGAGAGGAGATACCGGACCAATTCATGAAAGAAAAAAATACAAATACATAATAAATAAATGTATGCAGCAGTTAACTATTTTATGCGAAGAAATAAAAGTTGCATGTCTATTGATGTAAATTTAACATTTTTTGATGAGATGATTATCATTAGAAAAAATAAGGAATACAGATGAAGTAACTCATACAGCTTAGTGAATTAAGCTCTAGAAATGCTATGCTAATGCTAATGCAGTGGTATTCTCAAAAGGACTGTCATATGTTTGGGCAATTCTCTAAAGATGGCTATACATATAAGAAGCATTTGGACATTCTGTAGAGATATATCCCAGTAATGTACAACTCTTCGTCATTAGGTCACCATATTGACTGAAAAAAAAAACTTCTCTGGCAATTGAAGAGGCAGTTGCCCCAATGATGCTGTGGCTCAGAATCTCAATGCCATACGTGGGAATGCCCACCATGCTGGGGAGGGGACGCTCTTTGACCAAGACAGCAATCAGTGCAAGCAGGTAGGCCAGACAGGGTAAAAGGTATCTTCTGATTGGCAAGGAGAGGATTTGTAAGCCGCACTATTATGTTCAAATATGAGAAAGTTTAGGTTTTTATGACATGCAGAAGCACAGTATATGCCTGGAGTAGATTGCAGTGAGTATCACACACTATACAATTCTAACATAATACATAAAATTTAGAGCTACTATAAACTTGGACACAAAAGAGTTTTGCTAATCAATATTAATTCATATATTAAATATTGTATTAAACAAATATTCTTTTAGTTTATTAGGTTCCTTTTGAAGAACCTCCATTACTGTCATGCTCTCCAACTTCCACCCAATAGTTATTAGTAGACATACTGTATATGGGTTATAGGTAAGACATGGTTGAACACCATCCTATGTCCTGCTTTAAGGTGACATAAACCAGATATTTTTAATGTTTATAGATTTACAGTGTATTGTGTTGTTTTATGTATTTATTGTATACAGATTTGTTTTTATCATTTATAAAAATATTCCACCATTGTTTGCTCCTGAAGAAAGGGATAGTTTATCTCAGAAGCATGTAAAAGAGTTGACTCCTGGAAAGGGCACCATGAGACCCATCATATACCTGAAAAGAAATATTTATAGTTAATATGGCTGTGATATATAGATGTACGTATATATAAAGAAATTTAGATCACATGCTGATATCAATCTCACTGTTTTATAAAACAGACAGCCTGGAGGGATATATGTTCCTTATATGGAAAAGATTACCACTGTTGTTTTTATGATTTTTTTAAATACATTACGGGTTTAACATACAAAAACAACTCAATGTTATGTAAAAAATTCTATGACTGTCTATGGGTACCATCAAATTCCTATCCAAAACACCGTGAAGCCATACCCATTTTATTAACCTTGTCCAAATTTTAGGTCATGACCACAATCTCTCAACATTTTTGTTTTAGATCCCTTTAAGGTGCCCCTTCTAAGAATTTTTAAATTTTGGTACCTATGAGTGCTGGCTTTAACTAACAATAGCCCTGGCCTTTTAGCACTTGCCTCTCCAACCAGCAACAGTTTTGTCAGCATTTTGGAGGAAAACCCACGTCCCATTCCTTCCCAAGCCAACATTTTTCAGCTCCAGGATCATGACTTGTCTGCATTGTAAAAGACAGGAGCAGCTACTACAATATATTCAAGTTATGGAAAGATTTGGCAGTTTCTGTTTAGTATTATTTATGCTTTAAAAGTGTAATGTTGCTGTTTTGTTTTTTATTGATAATTTCATTGTTAAAATAAAGTCTGTTTTAGCTGTGTATCTTTTGGCTACGTACATATTCAGGTTATGTAGTGCTGGTTCTCTATTTTTTTTTTAATTATTTTCTCTTTTTTTCAGTTTTGGAAGAGGGGCTAAAGAGTTTAACATTCTGTCATTTTTCTGGTTGTTATGTCTGCTTGTAACCTCCTCAGTAAGATTTTTGCTCATTTTTTGACTCTTTGTAAAAAATAGGGATGTGGTTGTCACCAGATCAGGAAAGCACAGACGGCAATAAAAATATTTTCAGAACTTCTAAACTTCTCCCACTCTACTAAAGCTGTGTTTTTATTTTTATCAGTTTACCATTACAGAGGTTTCCTACCACTTCCTGTCCTGATAGACAAGTCAGAAGTAAAAGGAAGGTGTGGGGCTCTGGAGCTCTTAAAGCAGTAGGAGTCCTAAGTCAGGTCTTACTTTAGCCAGATCTCCTAGGAGTGGTGGCCAAAGGCAGGCTCATAGCTCAAGTAGGGGCTGGGTGTGCAAGAGGTAAAGTGCCAAAAGCACAATGTATAAAGTCCAGGTTTGAGTTTATCCCAATTCCTAGATTGTAAAAACCCAATGTGTTTCATGGTTCCAAGGGTCCTACTACATCAGGGCTGCAAATAACACATAAAGAATTATGATCAGTATACAATATCGACTGTTGTGTAAAAGGCAGAATATTTCAAAAGTAAACATGCAGGAACATATCATACATTATTAGAAAGTTTAGTATAGAGAAATAAAATGGGAAGATGATATAAATAAACAGAATAAATCTGATCCACATGTTACTTATATGGGTGAAAATAAAGAGAAAAAAAAACTAAAACAAATGCAGCCACCTCATCTAAGGACTGGTAAGCTGCAATAGATTACATTATGGTTTTGGGTTTTGATAGGCTTAACTATTAGTTTTGTCAGTGGAAAGTTCCATATCTGTAGCTCAATGCAAGCCAGTGATTGCCAGCCAGTTCTTCTGTGTCATGATGTCAAGTCACCTGAGGAGCTCTACATACTGCCTGATCCTTGTCTGAACCAGACTAAAAATCAAATATCAGGCAATTAACAGGTAAGTTTTCTAGTGGTTGTGAAGTTCATTGTGCCTCCGCTTTACTTTTGCAGTAAAGACACCTATATCACTTTGTTTATGATTAACATTACTGTAGGACTGGACACTTATGAACAGATATCTGCCTAAGAATGAAGAGTAGATAGATATCTGTCTGTCATTGTTAATCAAAAATGAGTACTGAGAGCCACTGTAAGCTCTACTGATACATATATAGTACTTCAGATTGTTCTCTGTTTTTCATAGAAGAGTATCATTATGTGCTTCATTAAACATTTTTCTTAGGCCTATAGTGATCTATATGTAAAGGCTCTGTAAGATTATCTTTGTTAGGGTAAAATATACATATTGGTGTTGTGAGCAAGGGATTTATTTATGAATATTATATATGGTAATGCTGTTTGGATAAACATATGCTCTGGAATGTTAATAAATCTGAAAAGGAAGAATTTTTGTAAATTTTTTTGTAATTTCTTTACTAAAATTTTTTCTGATAAAAAAAAATCTTTATTATTTACATAATTCATTTTTGTTAAAAAGAGATGACATCATTGAATGATTTATTTTATTTTATTTTACTATGTATATCTCTTTAATGGCTGTATTGCCTTGGTATGTATTGTGTAATGCGTAATGCTCAATTTTGAAACAATACTTGCATATGTCATTTCTATTGTACACTTCATGATGTATTTAAAATGCGTTGTTATGATGTTCTCTAAATCATATCACTATGTTACTCAGAGAAGTGGATAGTGATTCCAGGAGTCCAGCACTTATTGGCATTATGGTACCTAATACAGTATGTGCCCCTTTTAAGGTTGCCTTAATGGCTAATCCGTTGGATGAGTTGGGCTTCCTCTTTATTGGGATATGGATTTATATGCTTCTCCAACTAATACTAGCTATGTTTCCCTCTCTATAGGATGCTTCCACCCTAATTTACACCATCTTTTTTCTAATATTTAAAGTATTGATTTAAAGATTTTTTTAAGCCTGGGGACTATTGTCTCCTTAAAATATGAAGTACTGTTTTGTAAGTATGCAATATAAAGATATATAGGGGCTATATTAGCTCTGGCTATACCCAGGGGATTCATGTCCCGACAGTCTTCATATATTCAGTTGTTGTACCTGTTTTGTATTTCAGTCCAAAGAGAAGACCACCAAAATATGAGCATATGCTCATATTACTGGGTGAAATGGTGTTTAAAACAATGTTAGTATCCTGATAGGTGACCTTGTTAAGTTATATATTATGTACCAAGCATCTTTTAATATGTGCTTTATGTGATAATATACATTATGTATTTCTATTTCTGTATGAATAAATTGCATATTTTGAAATGTTGGGTTTTTTTTTTTTATGTCCCTGAGTGCTGTTATTAAAAGTTCCTTAAAAAAATTATTTTGAAATATAGATACCAATGTTCACTTGCATAATTCCAATCACTACATAAAGACTATTATTGTCTTGATTCTATGCGCTATTATGCATATCATATTTTGCAATCATTTCTTTCAGGCATGTGACTTTTGTTTTTAACTATTTTTTAAATTTCAATTGAAAGTAATGATTGTTATAGTAAAGAACTATTACAGCCTAGTGAACTGATCCTCAGAAGGTTTTCAAAACATGAGCCCACATCAATAGGGCTACTCAATTTAAACTGATCAGTTTCACACAGGGGCGGACTGACAACTCATGGGGCCCCGGGCAATAGGGGATCATGGGCTCCCTGTGTCCTTGCCCAAAACTCAAAAAAGCCTATGAAAAAGGTACCAGGGGCATCTCATGGGGCCCCCTACTGACCCCAGGCCCTCGGGCAGTGCCCGAGGGCCAAATGGTCAGTCCGCCCCTGCTTTCACACATCCATCTCAGAGATTATAGTTTCCTTTTAATATATACCATAATTACATGCACTCTTTAGTACTTCAAGAGAAATGTTCCTGGCATACTGTGATTACAGTGACTTATGATAAAGATGTTCATTCCTCCAATATGGCATATTTTGGTTGCTTATGATCCATACACTAGTCACCAGATAGTCGTTGCCTAAACTCCAGGCAAACAGCTAAAAACATCTGTTCATAAAAGGTATTTTGAGGACCTGGAGAGATTGAAAACTAAACTGATAAGAGGGATGCAGGATCTCAGCTACGAGAAAAGATTAACTTAAGTGAATTTATTACTTATTCTACAACTATAATGCATACACATGTACTATTTAATGGCCCTGTAATCTTTTTTTCATGAAATAATTTCTTATTGTGCTTTTCTGCCTCCTTGTAATGGGCTTTGTCCTCTGTGAGCTCCTGAACCTCTACTTTTCTGTAATCTTTTTTTTCATGAAATAAGTTCTTATTGTGCTTTTCTGCCTCCTTGTAAAGTCCTCTGTGAGCTCCTGAACCACTACATTTCTATTTGTTTGGAACAAGCAATGCATTTTAGTTGCAGTCCTGTGGACTGCTCTATGTATACAACAAATTCTATAGTGCATAGTCCCTAGTCTATCTTAGGAGCAAGCAGATGTGGTTCACTAGGTTCCTACTTACAGTGGGTCCATGGGGAAAGAACATGGCCACCTAACAAAAAATTGGATCAAAGCAACAAAAAAAAAAAAAAGATTTTGGAGATTTAGAGGGGACTAAGAGGAAAAGAAGGTACTTTTTGAGTTAAGAAGTCATACTTGAATATAGTTTTTTTTAAGGCAGAGATTTGATTGTCACTTTGAAGTTAATACAAAGAACAAGGGGGCACTCTTTACTTCTTTAGGAAAAGAGATTTAAACTGCACATATGGAAAGGCCTCTACACAATAAGATCTGTGAAAATGTGTAATTGACTCCATCAGGAACTAGTTCTGGCCAGCTCAGAAGATTGTTGTACAAAAAGATTTGGATGCATTCCTAAATGCACAAAATATAATTGGATATTAACATGTGAAGATTATATAACACCAGAGACTATTGATTTGGGGATATGCAATTGCCTCCTGGGAGATCAAGAAGGAAATGTTTTTGCATTGTTGGAACAAATTGGACCATGCTTTATAAGAGTTTTTTGGGCCTTTCTCTGTATCCACTGTGAGTATAACATTCTGTATATGTATATGTGGTTTTCAATGTATTTATTTATTCCTTTGTTCTGTTGTTAGAACAAATGAACGTGTGTCTTTTTTTTAGCTTACTGCCTATGTAACTGTAACAGTTGAAATACATTCATGAGAACTGTTGTACCTGCCACCTGATTTGTAATATAGATATACATAGCTCTGCTACACAGCACAGACCTGTCGGGTAAGCAAGAAGACCTGATCTTTATATGCTGCATTTTCAAACTTCAAAATGTACAGCTGTCGTGATGACTAGACAATGTTGTCTTTTTAAGTAATTTTTGTGGTGAAGGGACTGTTTTTTTTTTTTTGCTCCTTGGTGTATTTTGTAACTTTGATATAATAAAGCCTTTTTGTTTTTTAAGCTGAAGTATCTTTATGGTAGCTTCCTTTTAGGCTTTCTATAGCCTTAAGTTCTTTTTGCATTTTTAAACTTACAGGTCTTGTCCCTTTCCCAGTCTGTGCCTGGACAATGGAAGGAGAAGTAACATGAGGGTAGGTTCCTCTCTCTGTCACTTCCCCCTCTCTTCCTATCAGCATGCTCCTTGCACTACATCACACTTGATTTGCTTCTTGTGCTGCTGAGTCCAACTTTAATAAATTCTTTGAAAAAAATGACATTTTGAAAAAAAATGTAGGGGTTATCAAGCATAACATTCCTTACACACTTACTGTATGTGTCTACAGTTTCCACCTATTAAAAGGCTGTACTTGAACATTTCCCACTGGCCACAGTGGATGCCTTAAGGTCAACTATTACTTTGCCATGTTGAGAAAGCAAAATGTGTACTTTCCTATTGTTCCCTGCTACCTTATCTGCCACTGCAGCTACAAGAAATGACTGGTACTTTCAGGTATGAGAAAACACATAACATTCCCCCTTCTTTCCACAATAAAGCACTGGGTGTTGGAGCAGCCAATCATCACGTCCAAAGCACTGTTGAGTGAGGAAAAAAGAAGCATACATAGCCTTGCATAAGATTGAACTTTCTCAGAAAGTCAACATGTAAAGCATTACTCAACAACATTCCCCCACCTGCCGTGTTTTTCCCACTTACCTGCAGCATCATAGTGCTCTTCAAAGCACATTCTTGCCCACACAGTGAATCCAGCCCTGTTCTGCTGTGATCTGCTATTTAGGTGCCACACAGAGGGTCCCATGCCACTGGTTGCCTGTCCCGTTTGCAGGTAGCCAGCTCTGATGATGTGTTAGACCCACTCCACAAACCACCTTTCAGTCTGTCTCTGGACAATCTGTGTGCAGAACCTGCAACCTTCAGGAAGATGTAATGTAATGTAAGTATCCCAGGGGGCCGAAGGACCAGGTGCATGTCATTATTGCCTAAGCTGGCATGGTGGCGGGCGGAGCTAACAATTGTGTAGCACTATACCCACCCCAGAAAGGGCCACTTGATATTGCTTGTCCTCTTGTGCTGCCCTGACCCTGGGGACTTCCCAGCCCTTCTGACACTCTAGGTTCTGACATGTTGTATACCCCTTTAAGTGAACCACAGACACAAGGTAAGCTGAACACAACAACTAAGCAAGTAAGCAAACAATCAGCCAGTGGAAGGATGGATGTGATAGGTCGTTGGATGTGAACACGTCAGTCCAGGTTGGCACCAGCAGCGCAGTGACAGAGGGTCTCCTAATGCTGCACAGTGGTTCAGGCTCACCCTTGCAGGGACAGAGATGGCTCACAGGCTCCAAGGAGGCCATGGTCCCAGCAGCAGGATGGCAGCCCTGAAGCATGCTTATGGATCCTGGGGAGAAGAGAGCGAGGACCTGCTGAACACAGCTCTTTAAATATCCTTTCCTATAATCCCCCTTCTCAGTTAGCACCTTGCTGGGAGATGTAATCTGAGGAAGACTCAGGAGTCCAGATATGGCTGAACACAAGATTACAAGTCCCACTGTCCTTTGCCTCTGGGCTCAGGAATATGATGCAAGCAGTCTGAGTACAGCAATAGAGGCAGAGATGGAGCAGTTTGCAGCAATGAAAGTAATGTCCACAGCATTCAAATTATTGTAGCTGGGACCTGGCTACAATTGTAAACATTTTTATAAAACAGAAGTAAAAAATTACCTGCAATTCTGCTTATGTTGGGGGGGGGGGGGGGGGTTTGGAGTGTTTAGGCAGAACTAACTTCCTTTTGGGAGTTTCTTTTTTTATATATAGGAATTTCTGAGGGCTTTGCCATCAGATTGGGGCTTCACTTTTTGTGGAAAAGGTAAATGCAAGATACATATTGCACCTTCCGTAAAGCAAACCCTTACCTTTCTTACTTTTGTTATATTGCTGGCGCTCTGAAACTGAACCTTTGGATCTCTTAAACAGCAGCCTCAGGGTTGACTACCCGTTCCGCCTTTCCCCTTGTGCTAATGAGAATTTATTTGGAGAATACAAAGCCCTCTATGAACGGACAAGAGAGTGGAGGCAGTCACACAGACATCTCTGCACCAGAGAGCAGGGGAGTATAGCAATAGCATACATCTCATTGGACTTAATCAATTCTAAGCCAATCTATATATATATATATATATATATATATATATATATATATACATACATACACACATATATATATACACACATATATATACATACACACACACACAGATATACATATACATACACTATATTATTGCCAAAAGTATTGGGATGCCTGCTTTCACATGCACATGAACTTTAATGGCATCCCAGTCTTAGTCCGTAGGGCTCAATATTGAGTTGGCCCACCCTTTGCAGCTACAGTATAACAGATTCAACTATTCTGGGAAGGCTGTCCACAAGGTTTAGGAGTGTGTCTATGGGAATGTTTGACCGTTCTTCCAGAAGCACATTTGTGAGGTCAGGTCAGGCACTGATGTCGGATGAGAAGGCCTGGCTCGCAATCTCTGCTCTAATTCATCCTAAAGCTGTTCTGCCGGGTTGAGGTCAGGACCAAATGTTTTGGTATGTAGACACCTTAAGAGTTCTCATCACTGGAACTAAGGGGCCAAGCTCAACCCTTGAAAAGCAACCCCACACCATAATCCCCACTCCACCAAACTTTACACTTGGCAGAATGCAGTCAGGCAAACACTGTTGTCCTGGCAACTGTCAAACCAAGACACGTCCATCGGATTGCCAGAGAGAGAAGCGTGATTTGCCACTCCAAAGAACATGCCTCCAGTGCTCTAGAGTCCAGTGGCGGCGTGCTTTATACTACTGCATCCAACACTTTGCATTGCACTTGGTGGTGACAAGGCTTGGATGCAGTTGCTCAGCCATTGAAACCCATTCCATGAAGCTCTCTGCTCATTGTTGTTGTGCTAATCTGAATTCCACACAAAGTTTGGAGGTTTTTAGCTATCGACTCTGCAGACAGTTGGCGACTTCTGCGCAATGTGTGTTTCAGCATACGCTTACCCCGCTCTGTCATTTTACATGGCCTACCACTTTGTGTTGCTGTTGTTCTCAGTTTCTTCCACTTAGTTATAATTCCACTAACAGTTGACTGTGGAATATTTAGTAGCAAGGAAATTTCACGGATGGACCTATTGCACAGGTGGCAACCTATCACGGTACCACGCTTGAATTCACTGAGCTCTTAAATTCTTGAATTCACTGAGCTCCTGTTTGTAGAAGCAGTCTGCATGCCTAGGTGCTTGATTTTATACACCTGTGGCCATGGAGGTGATTGGAACACCTGAATCCAATGATTTGGAGGGGTGTCCCAATACTTTTGGCAATAAAGTATATATATATATATATATATATATATATATATATACAGTATATATAGTGCTATGGTAGAGTGCTATAGGATTATGTGAACCTGACCTTTTTACCACCTTGAAAAACATTACTGGGGATATGCCTGTGGGTGTCCTCCAATCAGTTTCTCTGATTCTCTGAAACTGAAGAGGAACTTGAATACTTGGTGCAAGTTGATTATAATGCTTCTATTTTTCTCCTCCAGGGGTCTGTTGTTTAGTTGATTAACTATTGTTTAGAACAGGGGTCGGCAACCCCCAGCATGCGTGGCATGCTGCCACATTTATGATGGCATGCGTGTGAAGCCTGGGACACCTCTCACACTTCAGCAAAGCCAGCTAGTGCCTGCAGCTTGCTACACAGAATGGAGCATGGTCGGCTCTTTGTCACTTCAATTCCCTGCTGCCTCCATTTCAGCCCACCTCATTTGGCTTGCCTGCAGCTGACAAAGCTGTGTTGAGGATGGCTGGATGTAGTGGGTGGTGCACCGCAGTCCCCCAATGGATGCTGTAACGGCTCTGTGAGTTCCTTCTCCCAATCTCAGACTGTACTCAGCTTCGACAAAGGACATGCAGGAGAGCTGCTCCTTGAGTCCCCACACTGCACATAGGTAAAGGTGGATTCTTTTACAGACAAAACCCCAATCTTCACTGGGTGTTGCTGGCTGTTGCAGCTCTGACCTGTCAAACCCTCAGATTGGAATGGCAACACAGCTGCAGCAGCAAACACACTGGGAATATTGGGGTTGTGTCTGTAAAAGAATCCAACTTTACCCATGTGCAGTATTGGGAGGAACAGCTTTGATGAGTGCCCTGCCAGCAGTCACACCATCCTCTGCCCTGGTAACTCCCTTTTTCCCTGCTGGTGCTATGCTCTGCCCTGTTGACCCCATCCTATGCACTTCTGATGCCACCCTATGCCTTGCTGACACCATCCTATAACCTGCTGACTCCACCATCTGCCCTGTTGTCCCTATCCTATTTCCAGCTGACCCCATCTTCTGCCCCACTGACCCCATCCTCTGACCCCTTGACCCCCATCCTCAGCCCCTTTGACCTCATCCTCTCCCCTGTTGACCTCATCCTCTGCCTCATTAACCCCGTCCACTGCACCACTAATGACTGTCCTATGTCCTGCTGACCCTATTCTATGCCCCACTGAACCCATCCCAGACCCTGAAGACCCCCATCCTCTATTCTACTCATCCCTGTCCTCTTTCCTGCTCACCATGTCCTCTGCCCTGCTAACCCTGTCCTCCTCCTTTCTGGCCTTGTCCTCTGCCCCGCTGATGACATTGTCCTATGTCACATTGACCCCTTTCCTATGCCCTGCAGACCCCTGTCCCACTGCCCCCTGTCCTCTACCCTTCTGACCCCGTGTTTTTCCCTGCTGACCCAGTCCTATATCCTGTTGACCCTATCCCATGTCCAGCTGACCCCATCCTCTGACTCATTGACCACATCTTCAGCTCCTTTGACCTCGTCCTCTCCCCCGTTGACCTCATCCTCTGCCTCATTGACCCTGTCCTCTGCCCTGCTGAAGACTGTCCTATGTCCTGCTGTCCCCATCCTATGCCCCACTGACCCCATCCTTGACCCTGCAGACCCCTGTCTATCCTCTATCCTGCTCATCCATGTCCTTTTTCCTGCCTACTATGTCCTCTTCCCTGCTAACCCTGTACTTTTCCTTGCTGACCTTGTTCTCTGCCCTGCTGACTTTGTCCCCTGCCCCTCTGACTCTGTTCTATGTCCCAAGGACCCATTTCCTATGCTCTGTTGATCCCATACTCTGCCCCACTGCCCCCTGTCCTCTACCTTGCTGACCCCATCCTCTTCCCTGATTACTCCCTCCTTGCCCTGCTGGCACCTTCCTCTGCCCTGCTGACCCCTGCCCTGCACCTTTCTGAGCACTCTACACTGCCCTGCTGACCCCATTCTCTGCCCTACTGATCCCTCTCTTAAGCCCTGCTGACCCATCCTCTACCCTGCTGACCCCTGTCTTTCACCCAGATGACCCCTGTTCTATGCCCTGCTGACACTTGTACACTGCCCTGCTGACCCCATCATTTGCACTGCTAACCCTTGTAAACTGCCCTGCTGACCACTTGTCCTCTGCCCTACATGACCTCTGTCTTATGCCCTGCTAACCCCTGATGACCACCCTGCTGAACCCTGTTCTCCACCCTTTAGGTCTCCTGTCCTCTGCTTTGTTGACTCCCGTATACTCCAATGCTGGCCTCCTATTCTCTGCAGGTAAGGCAGGTATATAGGAATGAGAGAAAGACTACACCTTGTTTTAAAATATATTTTTGTTCAGTATGCAAATGTTAAACAGCTATAGGACATTAACTGTCATAATACAAGAGGAATCTTCTTTATTTATAATATATGAGGCGTATACAATCATTTTGTCAGGAGTGCATCTAATGGAAATCCTGCTCGGTCTATATATATTATTATTATCATTATTATTATTATTATACAGGATTTTTATAGCACCAACAGTTTGCGCAGAACATTACAAAATGAAGGTAGACATAACAGTTACAATACAATTTTGTACAAGAGGAAACAGAGGGCCCTGCTTGTTAGAGCTTACAATCTAAGAGACACATCAGATGACAGCCATGAACACATGATCTGCTGAACAATCTTTCTCATGGAAGATTATTGTACAAACATTGGGAAAAAGTGCATGTTTGTGCCGTTATAGCATGGCGGAGGAGCAGGCAACACATTATTCTGGGGAAAGGAGGTAGGGGCACAGAAGAGAGTGAATGATCAGGAAACTCAATTCAAGAGAAATTCAGGTATTTGTTGTGTCCGTTTCTACCTGCACTTGTCCTCTAGCCCATTATGGCCTTGACTTTTCTCCAAGCCAAAATTAAGCTGCACTCTTTTGAAACTCTAAACCAGGGGTAGGCAACCTTTTGAGCATAGTGTGCCGAAAATTGTTCTAAAAGAAACTGAGAGTGCCAGCTACATAACAAATAATGCCAACTTCACACACTTAGTCACGAAAAATAATATTTTTATAAAGTAAATGTTGTAAGTGACCAATTCCTGCACGTTCACTACTCGTCTAATTATATGAGAAGAAAAGCATAGTGTGTCACTGCTCATTCATAATCAAGGTAAGTAATGCAAGACATTATAGAGCTGCATACTTGAAATAGAGGTGATAAAACAATCTATAGTGAAAGTGACTTAGAAAAGTAGCTGGATAAAATAACTTTCATCTTTAATAGTTCATATGTGTATTTCATTCCCCTTTACACCCTGGTCACAATCGGGTGCGACTTGGCATGAGATTTTCATGCCCTGTGACTTGCAAATCTTATGCCAAGTTGCACCCTATTGTCCGCTATTAGAGCGGTCATATCGGTGTGGTTCCGACTTGGTAGTGCATGCACTACTTTTGTTGCGATTTGCAAATCACAGCTGAAATCGGAGGTCACCTGATTTTGAAATCGTACGACTTCACTGTAAGTCGCACGATTTCAAAATCAGCATTGACTTTGTGAATGGGGGCTTAAAATTAAACCCCAGACACAAAAACCTTTAATTTAAATATATTCCTCAATAGCCACAAAGGATATAACATCCATTTTGTGCGCACCAAATACCTTTATAAATTCAGATCCTATCTTGTAAATGTCCAGACAAACTACAGAAGAGACAGATACAAGACGGCAGCGACTGGTCTGTATTGTAGGAAACTCCTGCAGAGTTTCACATTTGACTACTGACCAGATCTGGGAAAAATACATAAAGGACTCCCAGATTCAAAGAAGAATACACATTCATCTTCTATTTAGACAATATTTGCTTATCCTGGAGCTATACGGGATTTATATAGCGCCAACAGTTTGTTCAGCGCTTTACAATATAAAGGGTGACAATAAACAAGGATATAGTTCAATCAGGGGCGGACTGACCATGCGGGCACTTAGGCTCTGCCGAGGGCCCAGGATCAGTGGAGGGCCCCATGAGATGCAACTGGTACCTTTCATAGGCTTTTCTGGGTGTGGTTGTGGGCGAGGGCACAGGGGCCCCATGATCCCCTATTGCCCGGGGGCCCCATGAGTTGTCAGTCCGTCCCTGATTTCAATACAAGAGGGTTAGGAAGGCCCTGCTCCTTGGAGCTTACAATCTAAGAGGGAGGGGCTGGTTGTACAAAAGGTAATCACTGTGGGGGATGAACTGATAGGAGAAATAGAAGACGGAGTTCAGCTTTAATATGATCCACATACATACTGTATATAAAAAAAGTATTTGAACGTTATATCTTAAGTGTTCTTTGTCATAAAATCTGAAATAATTGCTAGTAAAGTGACAGATGTGAATGAGTAAAAGGAAGGGCATTCTGCTTTGTGCCTATGAAGCAGGTGCCATAGTTATTGAAGCATGGACTGTATGGCAGTGTTTCAAGTCATTCAGTACAGTAGCTATGAGTACAGCTCATGCCCTCTTTCTGTGAATATCCAGCTGTGTGGATGTGTAAGCCTTTGGAACAGCTGAAGCAGAGGAGGAGCTGACACCTTTGTCACTTGTTCTAATGCTTGTGACAAAGCGCTTTCTGACCAAGAAGGCTCAGGGTTAAAACAGCTGCATTAAGACCTGGTCACAGCTTCCAAACAGTGAGTAGTTAGGAAAATATTCTGTAATCAAACACCATTCTCTGGGTAAATCTATTTAGAACTCCATAACGATCTAACCTGCACACTGAACATGCTTAAAGGATAAGTTCACCTTTTAACAAAAAAATAATAAATACACATTTTTTTCAGGAGAAAAAATGTGCATTTATTATTTTTTGTTTGGGAAGCCTCTAAAGCATTGCAGCAGTGATCAGCAGATCGCTGCTGCCATGCAGGTCTCC